TTCCTATTTAAAATGATCGGCATGATCAGCAGAATATTCTGGAATCGATTCCAAATTTGGAAATACCCCTGACTGTAGTATAGCAAATAAAAATTGAATGACGTCATATGTACTATGTACTAATTTCTAAAATTCGTAGAGTACAGTACTAGCACAGCGTATGAGCTTGTTATCTAGCAAACCAGAAAGTAATGATAATTACGAACCTTATGTTTATTTAAAACAACGTTTTGCATGGATTTTACATGTTACCAGTCTTCGCTAGCTCATAGGATGTTTGAAGAGACTTTATAATATTCTCAGTCGTGGGTTGCTAATGCACAAATATTTTGTAAGCAGTTCAGTCAAAGTTCATCAACTTCTTTCACTTGTACTTACATTTTTCTCACTCAATATTTTCTTCGCATAAATGCAAACCTTGCATGGGGTATTTTTATGGTTTTCCAGCCAAGATAAGGACGAGTAGAATGACTCGAGGCATGCTTTCCAGCGGGGTAGTTCGTCCGCAGAATGATAGGTTCATTATAAAAGTGATTTTTCGATTTTTCGAACGCAATTTTTTCCTAGTTTCCTTAGTTCGAAACCATCTTATTGATAATCATTGAGAAAGAAAAAAAAATCCGTTGAAATTGAAAGATTTAAAAAAACGAAAAATGGAACAAGAGAGTGAGTGTAGCTTACTTTATGAGCGAATTTCTAAGAAAATGACAGTGTATTCGCGACTGCTCATAGGCGGCGGATCTCTGGGAAGGTGATTTTGCTCAATTCAACTCACGTCTGCCCATAGGCGGTGAGGTTGGTTGTCATGAAGGGTTCCTGAATGAAAAGGCCAATATGTCCATGTCTGCCCATAGGCGATGGATATTTTGGCTTTTCTATGAAAACGAAGCGAAATTACTGAACAATAAACTCACTTTACAGGATTTATAAAAATATTTTACAAGTTAAGTTATTATTATTTTTCAGTAGAATTAATGAAATAAATAGCGGAAGTTTAAAGGGAGGAAGTCGAGCCCTAACCCATAAATGAGAGTTCCTCTCGCTACTCAATATTAACTCACGCTAATTTTTTCGTTATACTCATATCTATAATGCTTCTATAGAGGCGAACATTAGTCATTTTTGGGGAAAGAGATTTCGTGTTGGAATATTCTCCATCAACTTATTCATGTAATTTCAGATCTATTGCAAAAAAAATAAGCAATATTTCCGATTCATTCTTATCTTTCAAGAAATTTATTGTGAATGCATTAACAAAAGTAATCATTTTTTTGTATCGCCAGTACAAAACTTTGAGTATCTGGCACTTGAAGTTGCTTATGTAATTTAATTCATCGTTATATAACATGAAGCGAAATTTTCATGGACATCTAATATAACAAAGGTTTTGAAAGTGGACAATGCGTATTATTCAAGCATATCATTTTATTTTATGCATTAGATAGCTCTCATTTATGAGTTAGGGTTCGAGACCATTACTTCAATAACATTGATAATCAACTTTTTAAACGTATTGACCATATAATTTTAATAAAAAATTGTTAATTAAGCATCTTTATTGATAAAAAATATATGGTAAAATACAAGGATCTAGTTATCCCTGGCTTCGATCAAATTATCAACTTTTACATGATCAACATGTGCAATCCGCACTTTCTCCTTCAGATCTCGAACTAATATCAACGTGCTTATCTAGTAATTCTTTCCTTATGATCTGATCAAGATCTGCTATAATTATATTTCAGGGCATCGTTTTTGAAGGTGACATCCTTTGTATCTGGAAGTAATCATCTATGATACAACTTAAGATTTCCAGAAGTGGAGATCTTGTATCCTTTGGTTCGTGCAAATTTTATCAATGCTTAGATACCGCTATAAACACCGTTTTTTATCTTTTTTATCTATAATTTCGGATAATATGTTCATTTCTGCATGTAAATATAATCTTTGTTCAAATTTTTCGTTGTCCAAATGCGGATTGTCGTAACCATCTGTACCATTAATTTTAATTTTTCAAATGTAACATGATCATCCAAACACCTTTTCTTGAATTTTTCATACTCTCTGGTAACATGAACAACATGAACAAACTTTTGAATAATATTCACCCATGAAAAAATGGGTTGACGAGCCTCTATAACGGGCTTCAATAAAATCACATCCATATCAGAAAATTGGTTTTGTACTTCTCATTACAGGCGCATGCTGTGAAATCGACCAAAGCTGAATAGTAAGATCCCACCTTTTTGAGATGTCTTAGAAATTGTGGGATGATCTTTGACTGTTTTATAATACCTGCTACAAATCCCAGACATTCTATATCCACGTACTTCATTTACATCCTTAATTTTAGCAAATCTTGTGAAAGATAAAATATGTGGATTTTATGGTCCACTTATTCATTCTTAAGTTTTTTAAGTCTAGATTCGAACTTAGTAGAACAGTATTTCATTACAGTTTCGAATAAATCCCCCACATCACTTCTTTCAAATGCCGTATCCAACGTTATGGGAGCATCTTTAGATACGCTTTAAAATATTTCTTGATTTTGTTGGTATATTCAACATCGTTTCCGCTCCAACTTCCGTTTTTAGAAATATAAACAACACATTTTATCGGTAAAAAGTTTCAATCTTATTGCTACCACTTCTTGATATCTTGCCAATATTATTGCTAGATTACTAGAAAATCTTTCATCCACTTCCGTCTTTCTTCCTTTCTTTGCTAACGACAAACTTGATACCTCCGGCAACACACACTTTAAAATTCTTGCATTTTTTTCCTGTTTTATATGGAAAGGATTTTGTAAATCGTATTTATCAGGATGGTTCGTGTAACGCGGCAAAATTATTGCCGAGATGATTATGTCCAGATATGAATCTTTCGGCCATGGATGTTTGCAAAGAAGAGACTTCAGAGCTTGCAAACTAATACTTATTTATCATCTTTAAAATCATCAGATAAAATTATTATTAATCAAGCAAATTTAATAAAATTTCTTCGGTAGCTTGTATTTGTTTCAATTGCTTACTTTTTTTGTGTAGTTACGAGTTAAATATTATGAGATTTTGGAGGAATTTTGCATACAGATAGATTACATCAATCTAAACTTCTATTTGTAATGAATTTATTTTTGATTTTACAAAGAAAATAGCATACAAATAAAAGTTGCATCCAAAATTAAACTAGGTAAAAAGTATAATTCATCAAAAAAAAAAAAATAACTTGTCTTTTATTTAAAATTCATTAAAAGAATACAACGTGATTTTTTTTATTTTACGAATATATTAGTACTCTTTTATTTTCAGATTATTCTTCATATAGCAATTTTGCATGCAATTTATAATGGTAAGTTTGAAATTTTCATTATTTAAACTACATAAACTACATATTCGTGTAACGGCTTAGTGTAACGGAACAGAAATCTAATTTTTTTTCTACGCGTTTATTTAGAATACGCTTTTTTTTCGCCGTAAAAAATATGTACATAATATATACATGTTACCGCGCGTGAAATAATTATTATATTCATTCTAGAAATGAAAAAAAAAAATTGGTTAGAATATATTTAATATATCTTTGATCATTAGAATGATCTTGCGTGCGAATATATCGTTTTAAGATTGATTCTTTTATTTCTTTTTTTTTAAGAAAATTTATCTAGTTTTCGTCGTTGAAAAAAAAAAAATTGACGAAATTAAAAATTGCGAAAAGAACTAAAAAACACGTTACATAATCAAAAATCTAGAATATATGGAAAATATTACCATAAATAGTGTTCGTAATGAAGATCATGAAGATCTTCGAATCCCACAATTTCAACATTTCAAACATTTCAATATAAATAAGCACAGAAACCATCTATCAGTTCCTCAGTGTTCTCGTGAAGTAGACGATGTCTATAGGCTGACTTGGTCCCCATGTCTTCGGATAGGGCGACTTTGGTCTCCAAGTAGTCTAGTCTTCTTTCATAAGGTTTATACGCTCCCTCTTGTGAAGGAGATGATGTCTATAGGCTGACTTTGTCGTTCAATAAAGGGCGACATTTGATCTTTCAAGTAGTCTAGTCTTTCTTCATAAGTGGTAATATTTTTTTATATTAAAGCGGGTGGGTGATAGCGGGAAATGTATGGTATACTGAAAATTATTTTATTGATCCGGGTAATAAATATTTCATGTAATCCAATATTGAATAAAATCGCTTAACTTGTGCTTTCATAGTCGTTTCGGTATTAGCTTTTTTTTAAAAAAAAAAAAAAATTAAAAAACAATTCTATCACGTTGGACGCGGACCAAAATTTTTTTTACGAATGGTTCAATATAATAATTTATCAAAATTTGTTAATTAATATTTTAATCTTTGGTGGTGAATTTACGAATTTAAATACCCTATTGACAGAAAAAATCAGATACCTATATTGGAGATAAAACGAAAATTTTTTATTCTCAGAATATTCCTTGTCAAACTTGTAACAAGCAAAAAAAAAAAAAAAACATATATATGTATTTTTTTTTTATTAAATTGAAATGACCTTTTTAAGAAAAAAAAAAAAAAAAAAAAAAAAAAAAAATTCATCGCGTAAATCGTAATCACATACATTGCACGTGATTTTGCAACGAAATTCATTATTTTACATTTTGTTTTAACTTTGAACATTTCATAATTTCTATATCGAAAACACAATGTTCATCCCGATAAATATACTGTACGTAGATCCGACCAATACAATACCATAACGTCACAATAACAGCATAATCCTGCTAAGGATGTCATCGATCCCTTCTCTACTTTGATAAGATTTAAATAAAAAAATTAATCTTCCATCTGTTACAACCCATTTATTTGTAATTTCACGGTCCAGGATTATACTAATTTTTATTTTACCAAGATTAACGTTTGGTCCTTTATCGTTACATTGTGAGGCAATGATTTTTCGATCTATGCCCATTTCTACATCCTCTTACCAATAAGGTGAAATTCCATCAATCCAACGTGACATACGTTTAATTTGCGTATTATAAATTGAAGAATTTCTATTCAAAGACGTAGGATCCCTTCTCAACTACGGGTTTTTCGTTAGAGGGTAGGGCAAGATTTCTCATTAAATAAAACTTTTCTAACTGATCAACCGTCGATTGTTTTGATATTTGTTTTAATGGACGAACTTTAGTAAAATATTCATCCGAAGGTATATGTGGAATGAAATCCTTTATGCGTTCTTTACATTAAATCTAATTCTTTCCATTTACTTTTATCTTATTCGATTATACAAGGTGTTTGTTTAAAACTACATTATGTCATATTTCGGCCTCTGGTAAACTGAATCGTCACGTTTAATTAATTCAAATAAAAAAGTCCATATCTATTTTATGAAAATGTCTTGATTAAATAATAATGCAGGATCTTGCTGCAGATTTTTTCATGGATTAAAGAATTCTGATGTACTTTAACCAAATTTTGTTTAATCCAATCGAGTTGTTTATCATTAAGGTACCTTTGAAGGTAATTTACCATGCAAAGTAGGCCCAACTCATCAGATGCGATGGTCAAACTAAAAATGAATTAATTATTATAATCATCCAAGGAAAACTTTCCCGTATGCATTAAAGCTTACCTTCTTTTTTAGCGATATTATCCTGTATAATCTAGGAATCAGCAAGTATGATCGCATCAAGAAAATCTGGATCAATATCCCCTTTACATTTTGAACTGATATTTGCAGGAAAAAATGTTGTAATACGGCTGTGATGCGGATAATTTGACAAAAAATTTCATTGCCGGTCGTTGATCAAGCCTGCAGTCCAATAATCAAATTTGAAATTTACGATCACGTAAGGTGATTCCAGAGTAATTGTTTTGAATTATTAATCCTGTCAAGAAAGGCTGTAAAAAATATCATTAATTTGTATTTATGGAATAAATCAAAGATTAGTCTCTTATAATTAGTCCTTATAACGATTAAATTTTAGATCCCTGAATATTTCAGATAAAAAGGTTAACAGATTAACTAATTATCACTCTTAAATGAAATGTAACAAACAAATAATAATCGCTATTATATCTTTCTATTTTCGCACCATTATAAACCTCGAACACATGAAATTATTTATTAATATATTAAAAAAATAAATTATAACGGTCAAAATAAATATTATTCTAAATTGTATATATATTTTTTTTCTTGTTATAATTTCAATCTTGAATAAAATTTTGAAATTCTCGAGAGAGGTTTTGGGTACTATATTCTAAATTTGCTGGTACATTGACGTTCTTGCAAACCATTTGTTGTGATTTGTTGATCGTGAATCCACTGAATTTGCAAAACAGATCCTTAATCAGTTCCATCAGATGCTCACGCGTTATTTTTCTTACTTGTTGATACAATCCCATAAATTACTTCTTCATAGATGGCCTCGTCATATTTCGTTTTTTGTAGTTGCGCTGCAAGGATAACTTAAGTTGAATAGCATTTTGTGCAATGTCCTGATCTATGTCTTCTCGTTTTGCTTCAGTAATAGTAATTATGATGTCTTCTACTTTAATTGCCCAATCAATGGGTCCTTTTCCGTGACTCCTAGATATTTCGTATTCTGGATAAAACTTTAACGTTCCTATCATAGATTGATGTGATGTTATAGATAATTGCTGAGATAAACTTGCAACGAGTCGGAGACACCTTATGCATTTTCTACAAATTGCAATACTCAGTAAATACATGGCATACAACGTAAGCATACTAGAATATCTGAAATCACATCATTCCTAATATCTTCCGGTATTATTACAATTTCTCCATCAAATCGAGAAAGTTCCCCGTCCTGCTATTAAAACATAATATAGACGTTAATCAAACTCTATTGTGAACTTGCATATGATAGCTCTCTTAAATAAACTCGACGATTAAATTTTATACTATGATTAATATTAATAAGTTTTTTTACTAAAAAATAAAATGAAATGTTACTTTATGACATAAATTGGTTTATTTTAATAAGTGTTTATCTTGTGACTTTTTTTTTAAAAAAACAAAAAATAAATTTGTTTTATTTTAAGAAAAATTAAGTAATCTTATTTTTTAGACAAATAATTTAAGAATTAATCAAAATTAACTTATCTTATTTATAACCAATTAGCAAACATTAAGAATTGACTAAAATTTAATTTAAATTTTTTATATTAGCAAATATCAAAAATTAATCAAAATTTGATTTATTTTATTTATAATTGATTGACTAAATAAATAACCAATAGATTAAAATATTATTAATAATTATCATTAATATCATGCAATTTGTTATTTATTATATATTTATCTATTTATTTATTATTTACATTGAATTTTAACAAAAAAATTATTTTTATACAAATTTACTTTTTGTTACTTTGTGTAATTTCAGCATTTTAATTTAAGAAATTGCTTTTTTTAGTTTAAGTAAACTTTATTTAGTAAGTTTAAATTTTCAAATATTAATTATTATTAAGATTGATTTGGTATTTATAAAGTAAATTATTTTGTTCATAATATTAATAATATACAAATTTTATTTTTTTATTTTGTATAATTTTATCATTTTAGTTTAAAAAAACTTACTTTTTTAATTTAAGTAAAGTTGTTCAATAGATTTGAAGTTAATTGAATCTCAATTTTATCAAAACTTGATTAGTTTTTATAACATTAATTGTATACAAATCTTATTTTTTTCTTTTAAGTATTTTGTATCTATAAAATTACCTTTATAATCTAAAATAAATTAATATAATAAGTTTAAATTTAATTAAAATTAATTTTAATAAATTTTGATTTGATATTTATAAAGTAATTTACAATTTACATAAAGTTAATGATAAACAGATTTTATTTTTTCATTTTATTTAATTTTGATATTTTAATTTATGAAAATTGTCTTTATAATCCAAGTAAAATTATTTAGTAGTTTTGAATTTAATTGAATCTCAATTTTTATTAAAATTAAACTAGCATTTATAGAGTAAATCACATTTTTTTCATAATGCTAATGATATATTGAATTCTATTTAATAACTTTTAATAAAAATTTGAATTAAATAAAAACATATAAAATATAATTAGTATAATTAACCATTTTTTTATATATAATATTTGCTTAAAAGTTATAATAATAATTATCTTATGTTTTCTAATTAATGCTATTAATGATATTTTTCACAATAAAATGAATTGAGTTTATTTGAGCTTATAATTAGAATCCCTGAGATTTCACAAATTATCATCAATCTCATTATCATTATGGCTATGCTGTAATAAATAATGATATTTATGAATTCTCATAAAATAACTTGTACATATTTTATTTTATTATAATATTTTTTTGTTAAACTATTATAGTAACAAAAAAAATGATTATATTTAAAAAAATGGTTAAAGCAATATATAATATTTGGTAAAATTAAGCTTAATAATAATCTGATTAAATTATATTATCTTAAATCTAACCTTTTTATTTTTATACTATTATAATTAAATAAAATGTATTTTTAAAAATCTAATTTAATTTTAATTTTAACTAGTGTGACTTTGAGATGTTGTTTTTTTTTTATTAAATTAAAAAGAAAGTAGAGATTTACATTTATATATTACATCAATAATTTTTTATGTTATATAAGATCAGATGTGTAGTTATATATATAAAGAGTTTTTAAAACATTTTCTAATCTTTCATATTCTTTAACTATATCTGAGTCAGTTATGAAAGCTTCTTTATTGAGTGTTAAAATTTAGATATTTTTCCAGTTTAAGCATTTGCTCAGGATGATATACATTTATTCAAGTGAAAATATTTAGTTATTTAGATTAATGAAGATATGGGAGACAGTCAATAAAAAAGAAAGAAATCTACAAATTTTAAGTAATTTTAGTTATTAAGCTAATTTTGTTTATATGATCATGATCAGCAGAATGAGCTAATAAAAAATTTTTTAACTAAAAAGCAGATTTCTTCCTTTTCTATTGATCACTCTCATATAGTTTAGGATTAGTCCCTAAGTTTTATGTATGATTAGGGGTAGTAATTCTAGAGTGAAAAATAGTAGCAGCTGGCTTAGTTTTCATTGATTATAAAATAATTAGTGGTTGATTCAATATTTATATTTATTATTTCACCTGGTATACTAAATGAGACTTATATTAGATTTATTTCAATATTGATGTCTGTGATGATTCTGATTGTTCTGTTGCAGATTTTTAAGTTTATTTTTGAATTATTAAAAAACATAACTTTTGCGTCTTATTAAAGTTAGACTAATAAGGGAGATTTGTTTTTGATTTGAATGCTTTTTTCATTATATCTGTATTATATTAATTTTTATTTATTGTATCAATTGCTTAGAAAATTATGACATCTCTTATCACATAATCAGAGAAATCTCTTTTATTAACTAAGTGTATAATATAAATTAAAGTTAATTTGACAGGCATGATGATTTGATTTTTAAAATTTATACAGGAAAAAAAAAAATTCTTAAAAGGTTTATTTTATATTTGTTTTTTTTTTTATTTATTTATTTATTTAAAAAAAAGATTTTTTTTCTTATGATTATTTATTTATTACAATTATAAATAATTCTTTATAACTTTAATGACTTATATAATTCAGATAAATAAAGATTTTTTTTATCATAAAGAAAAAGAAGTTAAGAATATTTTAAAAAAAAATTGGCAAAAGGAATGATTAAATTAATTATGATATTTTTGTGATCATTTCTTTTGTATTGTTTTTTTAAATTTAATGAATAAAATGGCTGTAATATTTTCAGATTAGTTATAGGATTCCTGTGATTTTTTTTTTAAAAAAAAATTAGTGAAAATATAGCTGAATGATATTTCTGAATTAGTTTTAATATTTTTTTTACTCAATTAGTTTTAATTTTTTCTTTCTTAAAAAGGATTTATATAAACAAAAAAATTCTTATATATTGATCCATTATTTGTAATAATTATAAGCATATACACTCACCTAGCAAAAATGACCGACTTTACCAAAATCGGAATAATAATACATACATTAACGTCATAAGAAAAAAATTTTTTTTATTAATTAAATTGATTTTAGTGTTATAAGTAAACTTGTACATCGTAATGAATTGTATCTTTCTTGATAATCGTATATAAATTTGGACTTTTATTGAATT